TAGACTATGCATAACCAAGTCAGTTAAGCTTTTCTTCAACTCGAATTAACGGTTTGGTTTGGTTTGGTTTGAAATCAATCCAAACTGATAACCCAAACTGTTTTTATTAATTATTTTATTTAGTCACATAATGTTGTAATCTCAAACCTATGTTTAATTTTCTCTTTAATATATTGTTAATTGATGTAAAATAAAAATTATTTAGCTTTCTTAACCTTAATAAACCTAATACTAAACCGATAGTTCACAAACTACATAAAATGCAAGCATTTTTTTGCTTTCTGTTATTATCACACATATTTTCATGTATTCGTTTATTCAATAACATCTGCTGCTAAAAAGAATCTTATTATATAAAGGAAGATGCGCGCGATAAGAACATGACATGTAAACAAAATTCTAATTCACCAGATCGTGACATATATTTAATAAAAATCAGATGATGACATGTGTTACCAATTAAAATTAACTAAGAAAAAGTAAAATAACAATGAAAAACAAATAAAATAATTGTCAAGTGACGAACCAAATAATAAAAAAGAAAATTTTCTTATATTTCAAACTAATTATGAAAAAACAAAAATTTCTAATATCAAGTAAATAATAAAAAAGAAAATTTTTATTATATTTCAAACTAATTAGGAAAAAAAAAGAAAATTCCTAATAATCAAAATTAGCTAGATAAAAAAAATTTAATAGTTTGAACTAATTATAAAAGTAAATTAAGAAAAAAAAACATAGAGAGTACAACCCATAAAAAACACAAAGTGAAGAGAAAATAGAAATTTTAATTAAGTAAAATAAAATGCGAATGATAAAATAAGGTCTGATATATATTGAAAAAAATATTTAGAAAGGATATGAAAATCTTTACTTAAAAGTTTACGATATTCACAATCATACCAAAGAGACAAAAAATCATAATCTATATGCATAATTATTTTGTATAACATAGTTATAGAATATCACAAAAAAAAATATAACAGTATTGATACTTCTCGATGTTAAACAAAATGTTATATAAGGA